TACTTCTTTAGACATAATTGGTTCATGGTTGCTCTCACATGATGTTCAACGGACCTTAAAATATACAGATGTCGTATTTATGTATGTATCCATGTATAAAAAAAAAATTGCAAAATTCCAAACACATTAGGCGCGTCATAATTTTCAGTATTTACTGTTTAAAAAATTTGATTCATTGCTTTGTTTTGTCGAAAAAAATGACGACAAGAAAATATGTGCTGAAAAATTTGGCCTAAAGTAATTTTTGTTGTGGCAACGCAAGCGCTACGCAAATCTTAAAAATTCTTTATATTTAAGCGCTATCGAAGAGATTTATTAAAACATAAATATGTACATACATACATACATATGTATGTATGTAAATAAGTATGAGTAAATTGTAAAAACATTTTGTTTTCTAAACTTCACAATTTTAGCGTTGCATGAAAATTGTGCGAAATTCGAATTGACTTTGAAATCAAAATGTTGCGCGAGCATGTAAATCGTGTTAAATGCGCGTGCAGAATCAATTTTTTTTTTAGCAAACAAATTTAAACGAATCAAATGTAAACCAGAAATTCAAAGATGTTGATGAAACGGAAAAAATTTTATTAAAGAAAATTCAGACAAATTTTACAAAGTGAGATTTTCCATTTCGCACATTTTAGTTACACATAATAAAAAATTAAAATAAAAAATAGAAACATAAAGCAAAAAAAAATAATCACAAAAAAATAAATGCGTGTAAATGAAAATGGCGAGAATAGATATGGATTCGCTTCGCTTATTTTTCATACGAGAATCAATTAAATTTTTTTTTTTTGCTAATTTTTAAACTCGTATTTTATTCATTTTGATTAGCCGCCATAGCAAAGTGTGAACAATTTAGGCTAAAGTAAAGAGCCAAACAAGAATTTACAATGTCGACAAACAAATTGTATTATGTAATTTTTTTTCTTGCATTCTACAAGTATGCACATTAGACTGCCTCACGCAACATCAAAAAAAAAAATATATTTTCCTCTTAAGAGCCACTTGCAACACAGATCAAGTTATTTTAACCTACAACAAAATTTGGGAAAATTTTCTAACTAAATCTAATCGATTATTTTGGTCCAATTTACGATGTAATTGTATCGTAGTTTTGTGTTTCATTAATCGATTATTAATCGATTAATTGTAAAATAATCGTAAAAATATTTTCAAGAAATAGGAATTCTGTAATTGTCTAAAATCCATCAATTGATCTTTGTCCCCTCACAAATCTCTTGTACACAAAGTTATAATACGTTTTGTGAACACATTTTAAATATGTAAAAAAAATTTGGAATATATCTGAAGTTAGCACCAATTTTTATTATTTTTTCCACTTCTACAATATTTTATGCCAAAATCTTAAAAGACAAGTAATTTTAATTATCGTTAATTTCTTCACGATACAATTATCGGATCTAAACAAAATTAGTATGGGACCGTTCAGGTACTGCCTTTCCGATGAAAAAAGAATTTTCGAAATCGGTTAACGTGGTCCAAAGTTATGTGGTCACATACATAAAAAAAAAATCCGACGAACTGATAATCTCCTCCTCTTTTTGAAATCGATTAAAAATAGTACCTTTTAGTCATAACTTCAAAAAGAACGTTTATATGCGAGTAAAACTAGGTATCTTCTATGAAAATCGAATAGAAAATTTTCTAAAAATTTCTTCCAAAATTACTTCCATGTACTTTCACTGAATATTTGAATCAGTTGAATAGGACTCACTTTGAGGTTTCAATAATTCGTATGGAAAAATTTGAATTTGTCTCTATAAACGATGGCATAACTTCATAACTTTTTTTATTTATTTTAATGAATTGTTTTCTTCGGAATTAAATATTTTGGCAAGAAAATGTGGTAGAAGTGTTTCCACTTGTTGGTCTCCAATCAGATTTTTTTCCATAAACGTTCCACATATTAACAATGTGCTGACAAAATTTATTATTTCTTTAAATAGTACAAATATTCTTCTTTCTAAAGCCGTAAAACAATTTAAATTTAAAATAAAAATTCTTTAATGCCGTAAGTAATGCGGAAATGTTTTTTTAAGAACAAGTAGAGAATTTGAGAATTTGTTAGAAAAATTTTGAAAACATTTCGTGAATTAATCGGCCAGCTCTGCGACCCGTGCCAGGTCACTTAAAAAGTTCGCGCATTTTTTATTTTTTTATTTTGTAACACCGTGTAATTTGTCGCTCAAAATACTCGCCTCATTTTATTTAAAGCTAATTAACAAGAGAATTAGAAATTTTGTATGGAAAAGTGTTTTTGTGAATACTCACTGCAAAAAAGTGCCTTTAAAAAATCGATTAATCGATTATTTCTCAATAATTGCAATTAATTTTTTTTGGCTTGCGATTAATCATATGGTTAATTAATCGATTATTTCATATTTTTTTTGCCATCCCTAAGCGTCGCTTGAGTTTTATGAGCCGCTTTGAAAAACCGAAATTTTTCTTTGTAAAACATCCTAACGTATTTATGTACGTATATCCATTTTTATGTATGTATCGATGTACATTATTATTTGCACAATATCACTGTCAGTTAGGAATGTGTCAGAAATGTGCAATAAACAAACATTCACCCAGATGAACAAAATCTAAAATGCAAAAATTAGTTGCAAAAACTCAGAGAAAATAAAAATTTAAAAAAATTCTCCATTAGCTGTAAACAAGCCAGTATTATTTTTTTAATTTTTTTTTTGTTTCGTTAACACAAGAATCTTCACATTTATCAGAAGACATGTAGCGATAAAAATGTAGCGTAATTAATTGCCGGCATTATTTACGAATTTATGCATTTGCAATTTTTTAATACTTAGAAAAAAAAAACGAGTTTTTACCAAATACTTGTAAGAACGCAATTCCACTTAAATGAACTGAAAATCGTGGCAGAAATGCTGAAATTTTTCTTCCTAATGTGTAGTGAAATTTACCCACTCGCAGCTGGAAATGGAGGAAGGGATTATAATACTAGACCATTTTAATTTAAGATATAAAGTAAATGATTCAAGCTAGTATTGACCCCGTCAATATTTTCAATGTCACCATCTGATGATTTGCAAAAGTAGTTAACTCTATTTTTCCTCGAATCTGTGTTTATTGCATTTTTGCGTAAATAACATGGATTACTATTATAAAAATTATGATTTGGGCCAGAAGCATTTTTAACGCAAGTTAAAAATTGATTATGCTCTACAATTTACTATTTAAATCCATATTTCAATGAGCTTCAAACAAGTTATCTCCTCACAATGAAGCGATTTTTGAGTATTTTATTAAACAAGTAATTAAAAAAAAAAAAAATATGTTTAAAGATAAGCTTTTATTAGTGGTTAGTAAAAAAAACGACCCCGCACCACCTAATGGCTAAATTTTTTGTGAAGTTATTTCTTTCCATTTAGCTAATACACGTTCTGAAGATTAAACAAATCGGACTTTACAAATTTTGTCGACTCCTGCGCCACCTATCGGCAAGTTTGTGTTGTTATTTATTTTCTTGTAGGTAATATACATTCCAAATATGACCCACATCGGTCGATAAATAGGTTTTTTTTTTTTTTTCAAATATCTCGACACGCGCGCCACCCAGCAGATTACATAATTTTTTCTTCTTCACATTGCATTGTCTTCGGGTTCTGAGCTAAGTTTAAAGTTTCAAGTCTCTAGCTCATCGGGAAATTGGTTAAAAATTTATTACAAGCTTTGATTACAAACAGGTGAAACATTATAAAAACGTCTAAAAAATGTTTTTTTTTTTTTGGAGTTAAAAATGTGTTCATAAAATATTAATTTTAATTTTTATCTATAAAAATCGGTTTATCTTAACTTAAAGTGCATTAAAAGAAGCTAATGTCGAATTTCGGATAGGCATTGAAATTACGAAAACTGTCATGTGGAAACGAATTTAATGACAATTTTTCGTAACTTCACGGCACAGGTATTTTTTCATTGCGCAACTTTGTCTGAGGTCAGTTTTCAACAAAGTAAATAAGAGGCTTTGGAGAACTCAATCTATGGACTTCTAAATGATGGAAAACTAGTAAGAAGATGTTAAACCAGCAGCAACAAATTTATCAGATAAAAAAGAAATTTAGAACACGTTTAAACTCTGGTAATCAAAGCTTTTAAAATATATACTCTCATAACACATTAAAGAGATTTCAGTGTATAATATAAGGCTCGCATAAATATTTAACTACTTTCTTTAAAAAAAAAAACAAAAGAAATCAAACTTTGTCTATCTGTATATTTTGCTTTTACTAATTGTCCATTGACGAAGCTAGTTTTTATACCTTCACAAAATTAGTGTATTAGGGTATTAAACGCCTCTCTATCTTCTGCCATAGCATCCATCTTAAAAAAAGGAGAATCACTGCTTGAAACGTTTTTTTTTCCAGTACCAATATTAAAGCAAGCAATTCTGTCCCCACCCACCATTTACGTTTGAATTCGCCATGTTGATTTTTAATTCGTTACACTGAGAAAGGAGTCAGCTAAATACAAACATATAGGGCTGGTTTCTCCAACTCAACTTAACTTAGTTAAGCCAATTTTCTTGAGCTAGTCAGGAATAAGCTGTGTAAAACGTAGGCTAACTTTTGACTTAAGTCCAAAAAGAGGCTAAACTAAGTTAAGTTGAGTTGGAGGAACCAGCGCATAGACTACAAGATTTGGCAACTATAACCAAATCATGTAAATATGAAGAAACCATACGCGTCGTAACTAAACTAGGGCTAAATCAACTGAAAAGTTCCATTTCTGACCAAATTCTTCATTAAAATAGGCGGACTACACCCAGAAAAAAGTCAGCTAAATGTACAATTTATGTCAACACACGATTTGGTTATAATTAAATTATACGGTTATAGTAGTTGCCAAATCATGTGTGGAGAAAAACATTTTTAGCTACCTTTATTCTGAGTGTACTGTACTTGCATTAAAAAAAAAAAAAAACATTTATAGCTTTCTCAACTCACCTTCGCTTCCAATTTCTGATTTTCAGTCTTCAATTCGTTGCGATCGTTTTCGATTTTCTCCAACTTGGCACGCAGCATTGCCAATTCTTCGTTCGCCGACTTTAGCTGCTCCTCGGTACGATGGACATTTAGGAGAGGTGTTACACGCACCAAAAGGCGCCACCAGGGCCAATCGCGGACCGTAAGAAATGCTTTAACATTGCGTTGAATACAACGAACGGCCAACTCCTGTGACGATTGACAAAACAAAAAAACATTGATTAGAGTTAGAGTTATGAGAGTTAATAATAAAAAAATAGCTTGCATTACAATAAAAATAAACAGTAAAGAGGCTTACATACTACCTATGTACATTTGTATGTATTTCAGATGGATTGGTAGTAAAAAATTAAGCATTGAAAACCGATAAATGGCAAGAAAAAATGGCACTAAAAATTTCATAAAACAGGAAATGTAAATGATGACAATTTCAGATTTTTGTACAGCGGTATGTACATATGTATAAGTTTATGACAATGTGTCAGCAACATATTCATTACAGGCTGACAACTCTTGAAGTGTTGAATCGTATCCAGTTTGATTTTTTTCGCATTAAGGCTGTTGCTGTTGCACAAGCGTCTGCCTATGCTGAAAATAGCAAGGTACATACATACAGTGGTGGCCACATAATAAGGGACACTAAAATGTACCAAGTAGTAACTCAAAGTTTCAAGCTTTGCACAGGATTTATAAAGATTCGCCAAATTTCAGAAAATGGTCACCAAAATTTCATACTTTCGAAATTAGGTTGGCGGTTTTGTAGCCCATTAAATTTCAGTCTAATATTGTGCAAGTTTTAATAATGCCCCAAACTTTGAGTTACATGGTTTACGTTGTGGTATAAATTATTTTGTTTGTTTTTAATTCATTCAAAATAAATGGTAAAAACTTGTAGCGAATTAGTGTCCATAATTATGTGGCCACCACTGTATGAATGTTTGTATTAATGTCGCATACAAGCACGTCTATCGCCAGCAAATCAATTGCAACAACTTACAACGTGCTACGTATTTCAATTACAACAGCTCGACAACAACGTTAAGAGACGGGGAAAAGGTAAAAAAAATGGCAAAAGGGCGCATAAGCGATTTACATAGTTATACATAATTAAAAACAAATACCTGTGAAGAAAAGTGACAACAAATAACTACATAAAAATTCGTTCAAAAGAAATTGTTGATAGCCCTTTTACATTTAAGCATTGCAAACCAGCCCTCAAGAAATATAAAAAATCGCATAAAACCGCTCATGAAATTAAAACAGAAATTTACTTACTTCTATTGAAATTTCTTGAATCAATTTGCAGCTCTCATGACAGAATTACTCATTACACTAAAATAAGTCGAGGATTTTCCGCCGAAATTATGAAATTTCTTTTATTTAAATACCTTCTCCAAAATGTTTCAGAAAAATATTGAGATGGGCCGATTTCAAGACTTTCGAAAATTTATTTTTTTTTATATATGTGACCTGGTCTACGGAAAGGGGGCTTAGGTGTCAAAAGATCGTTGATTCGGATGGAAGATGAGATGCTTTTTCACGTGGTGAAAAGCAGAAAATCCTAACTTGCTTAGAAGTGTACTAAAAATGTAGAGAAAGAAGAGTAAAAATACGACAAAATATAATTTATTTACACGATGAACTATAATAATATTCCGACCAACAACAACACTTACTGGACGTCCGGCGCGGAGAACAATTAACGAGATAATGAGAAACTGACGAAACGAGTTGCTTACTTTTAACAGCTTTTTCACAGAAAACTAGTTTTCGCACGTAAGCTCCCTTTTCGTAGACCAGGTCACATATATAAAACTAATTAATATTTATTTTTTTCAAAATCACATCAAATGATAGAAAATTTAAAGCTTAAAAGGTCTACTTAAAGATAGTTCAACATTTTATTAACGGAATAAAAATGAGATTTTCGGAGATATTTCTCAAATCTTAATATTTTTCTGAAATATTTTGGCGCAAGCCTTTAAATACAAAAAATTTCATAATTCCGATGGCAAAACAGTACCGATTTTTTTTTTTTTTTTTTTTGTTGTGGTGAGTGATGTACCCTAATAAACATATATGCATTTCTTCGCGAAAATTAACAGCACTTGGAAAGTGCGTTTCAAGCTACAAAAATAATGGAATACTAAGCTCAAATTATACTTGATTTTTTTTGTAACTCAAATCATAAACATTGTAGCTTTTTTTCTAAGTAAAAAAAATTACAAAGAATTCCATTATCGCGTTCACACCCACCTGTACGCGTCGGCGCGCCACCTGTTTACGTGCCAAATAGCCGCGGCAATACGCCTGCAATTGTATGATGCGATCCGACAGCAGCTCATCACGTTTCGCTTCCAATTCACTCAAAACACCAGAACGGAATAAAATCTGTAATGCAAAGAAAAAATAAATAAAGTTAAAAAAAAAGCGTCGGCACATGAAAGGTGGAAATATTAGGTACAAAATGTATGAGTGAATGCATATCAGTAATTTATCTGTAAATCATTCGAAGTGGTTTTAGCAACTATGCGGTAATGCAATAAAAATATCAAGAAATTGTATCAAAGGAATTTGGGCGTCGAGATACCATATGAAGATTAAAAAGTTTCTACTTTTTTTAATTATCTGACCATGGTTAGTAGATTCGAACGAGTATTGTTTTATGCATATGCGGATACATAAGTCGAAAAAAGAACAAATATTTGTTTCAAACACTCTTTTCGGGAATGCTAAAAGTTTTGTTTTTGGTCCCCATATAGCTAACTGCAGTTTTCTTTTTGTAAAACTAAAATCCACCTAATGTACATAAGTGAAGAATACCTCTAATGTTCCAAATAGGAAATAATGTAAAAAACGGCTGCGAACATACACTCTAAAAAATCTGTTTAAAAATGCGACTATAAATCGAGTATATCTTTGTAATTTTTTTTTAATTTTTTGGTAAATTTACACGATAAATAGGTATTTTTCTCGTTTACACATTTTCGTGTGTAAAAATCTTTGTTGAATAATCGAACATGTAATTTCGCGAACTCTAAGGTAGGAAATCAGTAACCTGACTTTTAGCTAGGAAATCTACACAATTTTTTTTGGAGTGTAACTCTTGGCATAAGATACCTGTAGTAAAATTTAGGAAGCAATTTTTTATGTACTTTAACTCCTTAATCTTTGCTTCTGTTTGAAAAGTTTAATTAAAAATCGTATTCTAATCGTAAATTTTAACACAGGCCTCTTAAGTCAAGAACTACATATGTTTTAAGCCAATCTATACATACATATTTATAATAAAATGGTAACAGGCCGATGTCTGTACATTATAGATATTAAAAAAAATTAACATGGAGGTCTTTATTAGAGCAACAGAACCCAAATCAATAATTTTTAGTATTTTTGTATGACTGTCTCTCTGTCTATCTGTATGTTTGTACGCGAATCGCTAGAAAAGTAATGCATGGAATTGAATGCACTTTTCACCAACGCATTGCTAGACGTCTAACTTAAATTACAGCAAAATAATAATTAGAGCGTTGTCACCTGTTGGAAAATAGCAGTTTAAGTAAATTAATAAGAAAGAGTAAATATTGTAATGTGGCTGTCGAAAGAGGCTTAAGATGGCTTAGAGCCGAAAATATTTGTGTAAGGTTGCCACCTGTTTGAAAATTTTAATTTTAATTTGATAAAATAAATAAAAAAATTCAATATGGGTATCAAACTAAAGAAGTTTGACAAAGCTTACTGCCGAAAATATTTTTTAGGAGGGATGCCACCTGTTCAAAAAATTGTATTCAATTAAATTGATAAGGTAAAGTTTATATTGAATTAATGCACCTTTGAAGAAAGTGTGCGATATGAAGACTCGAGTTATAGGATTATAAATAAAATTTTCAGGAGAAAAAAGATTCTTTAGCTATTTTCTTAATACCTATTACTATAATTAATTAATGTGTGACCAAATGTTAAAACTTTTACTTTTGGGATTTAATCCCCAACACAACAGATTGACCCTGAGTTGCAAATCTTAACTGGATTAAGTTGTATAAGCAAGGTGCGCTTTAGTAAGGGTGGCATGGAAGAGTAACATATGCAATGTGTAATAAGCCAAATCTGGCAGTATGGGGGAATGTGACTAGATGATGCGTGTTGTTAGGGATGCCTGCTTTTCCTTTGGAGATTTTTGGCGATCAAAATTAGCGATAGCACATGTTGGAATCCGGCTACTGGTCATTTTCTAATTTTTGTATATGTACATATGTATAATATGGCGTCTATGTATTAAAACACCCCCCGTGGGTCCGTCACTAACTGACACGTAGTTTAACCCCCAAAAGCCTCCCCCCCCCGCAGGATCCGCCCCTGCTTATAATTCATTCATTGTAGAGAGCTTTTATTTTTGTGTTATCCGTAACTAAATTTCACAGAGCTTTTAAAAGCATAAACTGTACTATCCCTCTGTAGAAGCTTTTCAAAGCTTTGAGCGCCTAGTAAGTGTAGAGAGAGACATTGAGTCTTGGAACAAATTATAAACTTGTGGCCATGCAAACCTTACCACGACTTAAAAAAAAAAATTGGTAGAATTTTTTAAGTTTCAAACTTTGAACAAAAGTTAGAAAAAATCTACAAAATTTTAAACTTTTTTTATGAAAATTTCGTGTATGCAGCTTAATAGCCCATTTGAAGTTTGAAGTGGCACAAAGTTCTCAGTGATTTTAGAATTTTTTTTTGCTAACGGCCTTTTCTAGTCTTTCCATGTAACAAATGTTTTTTGTATGGGAAAACTGCGCATCGCATCGAATAAAAAACTCAAAAAACCACCAAAAGTACTCCAAAACTGCACTTTATTATACTAAAATTAAATAAACTATTAGACTTCATACCCGGAATTTTCCTAAAAATATTGGTTAAAAAGCTTGAACAGAAAATTTTATGAATTTTTCTAAATTTTGCAAAAAGTTTGAAACTTCTATTTATGTAATTTTTGATACAGTGTGAACTATATTTAAAAATATAATAATATATATTTTTTTTAAATAATTTAAATTTTGTAGAAGCCCATAATAGTCTTATTAAGAAAATCTTCAGGGAAAAAAGAAAACCGTGACTCACAGGTGCTTTTGAACTAGAAAATTCCTTTAACGATCTCTGCAGTGGACCTGCTCCTGCCCTGCTTAAGTGGGACAACATGCTTTTTTAGTGTCTAGGCCAGCGTGTTCACTGATCAGTTAAGACGTAATCAGGTGCACAGATCATTGGCTTGCCCCAACATTAAAAATAGTAAACAAGTAAATAAACAAACGGAAGAGACAAAAACCAAAATAACACAGGTGGCGGTGGCACGAAAGATAAACAAAAAAATTTTTCTTCTCGTTTTTCAATGAACAGAGACTCAATGTAGTAAATGTGAACTTAAGAAAAAACAAGATACAGAGCGGAGGAGGAGGTGTAGGGCAATCGTGATGTAACAACCACCAAGTTAAATGAAAAAAATAAACACAACATTCAACAGCATAATTAAATGTGTATAAAATTTAAATAAATAAAAAAGGGTGTGTAACGTAGCTAACATTACGTGATGCAAGTTGATGAGCGGGTTAACTTAGACAAGAAAAAAAATTGGGCACATGCCGCATATAGTATAGTTAATACATATATACTTATATGTACATACACACATACATATACATATATATGTATGCTGATGGCACAGCGACCACAAGTGGCATGAGAAAGTTGGCTGTAATTGATCGATTGGTGAGGCTAAATGGTCAACACATAACGCATCAGTCAGTCAAACGGTCTGCGCAGCACTCAAATGCCAATCAAAAAGCATAAAAACGAATCAAAGCAAGCGGAAATTCAAACAAAAAATTAAATGGAAAGCAAAACAATGTAGTAATTAAAATACTTGCGAATTAATAAAAAAATATTTATGGTCGTAAATACATATGTATGAATGTTCGCTTGCAATTGGTTTAACGACAAATCCGCATTTATCATCAAAGACAGCGCAAAAGAGGCGAGAAGTCGTACACATTAAAAATGTTTTTATGTAAATAAGTGCGGATACTTATATATGTATATGTATATGGGGCGTTCCATACCAAAACGGACGGAGTTCACACTTCATGTGTTAGATTTGTTTCAATTTTTAAGGGTTGATGCATAAACATAAATAATAAATAAATACGAAATTTGAGTTTGATTAATACATTTTTAAAAAACAAAAACAAAAACAAATCGATTGAATAGTTTTCCAAATATCTAGAGAAATTTGAAAAAAATCCCAATTACACACAAGAAAATTCTCTATGAAAAGAAATATTTCCAAAATTTTTTTTCTTGAAAAATTTTTCACATAATAATTTTTTTATTAAAAGAAATTAGTTTTTGAAAATATGCCATCTCAAAAAAAAATTTAAAAAAATCACAATGGTAGCTCTGAGTATTGCGCAATATTTAAGTATAGTATTGTTCCTGACACTCCTCATCGTACCAGTTCTTCTTTCGGGCTCGCTGAAATCCGCCAACTTCTTCGGCGGCGGTACTTAATCAGCGGGAAATGTGGTATCAGATTTTCAAAATTTAAAATTCCGATCCAATATGGTGGTCAAATTAAAATAAGTTTAGTGGTTATAAAATTTGATGGCTTTGCATGTTTTCGAGGTTCCTGATTACGAATTCAAAGCCAGATTTCTAAAATCGTAATAAAAGAATAATTAAAAAAAACCCAATGATTTTAAATTCGTTAAAGAAAATCGATGATTTTTGATTCTTTTGAAATAAATTTTTTTTATATTAAACCGCCATATTGGTACCTTCAATTTGGATTTTGAAAATCTGACTTCATATTCGTAATCAGTGACCCCAAAACCCCTACCTACCAAGATTAAGTTAAATTCATAAATTTTTACAACATTTTGCCTGCCACATAAAGTCCATCAGCTTTTTGAGGTTAGGAAAAAATCCACACGTGATTCGTGTTTAGCGACCCCATAACATAACATTAAAAAAAAAACCGGTCTGGTATTGATCGGTTTTTTCGTACGATACTTCTGATCTATCCTTAATCTTTATTCTACCTTAATGCCTTACTTAAGAAATTCCTAACCTTTTTTATTAGTCGCTATTTTTAAAAACGTCTCTCCCGCTGGCTGAAATGCGAATGAACTATAAACCCTAGCTGGGCAATACTGCCGCCAGTGCTGCATACGAGTAATAAATAGTTAGCCCATTTCAAAGCCATCAACCCACAATTAACTAAGGCCGCCGCCTGCTTATCAAAATCAACAATTCAAATCCGCAATGAATGACAATAAAATCTGTAAAAACTGCAGGCAAAAGTTCAGCCCAACAAACAAAGCCCTCCTTGTAGTAGTATGTATGTCTGAGTT